ACATTGTTTTTTCTATGGTTATATGTCCCACCTGAGACCTGAGCACAAGGTTCACACAGTTAAAACTGGCTTTTCTGCCATATTTCCTGCACCTTATTTCCACTGCTCCAGAATCATCATTTTCTAGGCTAAAGAACTATTTTCCTTCTCATGAGGAAATAATAGGGGGTTAAGCAATTAAACATACCACTGCTGAAAGCTTGTAAAGAGCCTCCATACTGCCTGCCTCTGGTAGGACAGCTGGAGTGACCAATGCTGCCAGGAGGGGAGCTCTTCGCTGTAACCACTGTAAGATCCAGGAGCTGACAGAGCAGCTCTTTTCAAATACTTAAAAACAATAAAAGCTTACATACTTTTGTGATGTGCAAAATACTTGTTGGCTTATTGAAGTGACAAGTTGGGGAGGGTTGGGGGTGGGCTGACGCTGGCCCCATGCCAGGCACCTACCCATGAGCTATTTACACATTCCCCTCTGCAGCTGGAGAGAGAAAAAATTTAGCAAAGGGTTCAAGGGTTGAGATAAGGATTGGGAGAGATCCCTCAGCAAATGCCATCATAGGCAAAACAGGCTCAGTTTACAGATATGAAGTGAACTTACTACTAACAAATCAGAGTAGGATAAAGAGAAGTAAAACAAATCCTTGAAAAAACACCTTCCCACCACCCCTCCCTCCTTGCCTGCTCTACCTCCTACCCCAGTGTCACAAGGAGACAGGGAATGGGGATTGTGGTCAGCTCATCACCTGAGCCTTCTCCCACTGCTCGGGAAGTCACTCCCCTGCTGCACCGTGGGGTCCCTCCCACAGGAGACAGTTCTCCATGGACTTCTCCAATGTGGCTCTATCTGATGTGCAGCAGCTCCCTGCAAACTGCTGCAATGCGAGTCCATCCCACAGGCAGCAGTGCTCCCAAAACTGCTTCAGCCAGGGTCACTCATCCATGGGGTGCAGTTCTCCAAGGACAGGATGCTCCAGCCTGGCAGCAGGGGCCCTTTCTCCACTGGCCTTCCACAGGGTCACAGCCTCCTTCAAGGTATCTGCCTGCTCCAGTGCAGGCCTCCTTTATGGGCTGTGAGTGGATCTCTGCATCCTTGCAGATTGTAGATCTCTATGGGCTGCAGGAGCACAGCTGCTTCACCATGGGCTGCACCACAGGCTGCAGGGGAATCTCAGCTCTGGTGCCTGGAGCACCTCCTGTCCCTCCTTCTGCACTGGCCTTGGTGTCTGCAGAATTGTTCTTCTCACATGTTTTCACTCCACACTTCACTGGCCACAGTTACAACTACACAATTTTTGTTTTGATTTCTTCTTAAATCTGTTATCACAGAGGCATTATCACCAGCTCTAATTAGCCCAGCCAGTCAGTGGCGCATCTGTCTTTGGAGCCACCAGAGATTGGCTCCACTGGACATGGGGAAAGCTTCAGGCACTTTCTCAGAGAGCCCACCCCTTCTGCTACCAAAGTCCCAGGCCATGCAAACCCAATACACAAGGGTACCAGCAAGGGCTTGCAAGCTGGATTCCGCCTTGGGTCCACAGTGGTGGCCACCCCTGGTACAGCCTGGTAGGAGGCAGGGGCAGCCAGGGCAGCTTCATCTGATTGGTGCTGGAGAGGTGCTGTCCACCCCTGAACCATTTTGAGGGCTTTCTTTTGGCAGCAGAGTGGCTCTATAGGGTTGATGCTCATTCGCTGCTGAAAAAAAAAATCTCCTGGGATGATTGCATATGAAAGGAGTGATGTTGTTCTCCAAAAGGAATGATGTTGGTGCCTACTCCATGATGTGCGATGAGGCATGGCAAGGGGCAATGAACAGAAAATCCACTGCAAAGGTATACTTCTGACCTGAACTGTAATGCTCATTAATCCGCACATTGGAGTGGCAATGCACTGCAGGGATGGAGCCAAGGTACAGGGCTTATAAATCAATTATTATGTGGATATTAGACTTCTCCTTTGGGAGATGTAGAATACAATTCAGACAGTGGCTTATAGCTTCTCTGGCCGGCCAACCAGACCTAACGCTAGGCCTTAGTACAAAATATCCTTCTCTAAATTCAAGAGTTTTTCTGCATACAACTTTCATTTCAAAACACATGGGAGGTCTCTTTAGCTGTGTGATTTGTGGTGGTGTTTTTGTAATGTGGTGAATATTAGAGAGTAACAGGTAACAGCTTTTATTAGACTAGACAGGAGTAGGGACACTTCTAGGTACATAGGGTTTGAGAAAAGCTTTCATGCTTAAAATATTTAACACTTTGGTATGCTGCAAAGATATTAAGAGGAAAGGAAATATTAAATGACACTGTTGAAACACATGTTAACTGGACACAGGAACAAGAGAGTAGGTCATGGGGGAAAAATATCTACCTTTTTATTTGTAGAAAATGAACTTTCTTCTTCACTCCAGCTACTCTCTTGCAGACTGACTTCTGTCTAGAAACTACTTACCCAGCATCAAAAAACTATCTGTGTATTGCTGCTGCTGTCTCTTAAAACAAGCTTTATGACTCTTCTGCTTGTGATGTTACGACCAAGACTCCCCAGTTTTTCAAAACCTAAACGGATTTTAGCAGCATTTGGTTTCCCTGCATCATGAGGTACGGAAAACACATTCTATCTGGGCTTGGTGCTTGAGTCAGGAATCTTTTTAAGGGGGTTCTTTATGTAGAAAGTTAATGGCAATTCTGAAAGGCTTCATGTTATGTGGAAAGAATTTCATTCTCTTCAAACAGGAAGCATCACCAGGCTAAAACATCCTTTTATGCACAGCTTTTGTTTCCAAATCCTTGCTGTAAAACCAATATGCAGATGTGTTTTTAAGAAAAGAAACCAGGTGTCTAAAAATTATTTTTCAATGTTCCTGTTAACTTTATGTCTCACTTCCTCCATTATTAGATTTTTTGGCTATGTGAATTCAAGCCTGTGTTGGCTAGTGGATTATGGTATTTTAAGCACTGGTAAATCACATCTCTGAAATGTGTGCTTAGCTGTGAGCACACACAGTCATGCTATTCACCTCAGTTAAAGAGTAAATCCTGGGGTGCCTGGGGGCCATGGGTCTGGTGTGGTGCTGCACTGGCCACCCTTCTCTCTAGCAGATGGAGTTATTTGCACTATTGGATGGAGTACTATTGGATGATGTTTGTGTTGTGTGACCATGCCTGCTAGGGAGGAAAGGAAGGCTGTGTGGAGGTAACAGGGGAAGAAGTCATCTTCACTGCAAGCAAGAAATGGGGAAATAGCTGTGCCATCCTCACACCTGTCACACCCAGGAGATTTTATAAATTCAGCAGAGACCTTGGCTTGCAAACAGGTCCTGCCTCACCAGAGCTGACTTGCTGGTATCATCTAACAAGGCAAGTCACACCAAAGCTCCTGGCTGCTTTAGGATGAGGAGAGCTGTACAGGGGGAGCAAGCATTGTGCCACAAGGGTCCACCAAGTAGGTACACAGCTGACAGGGGAGTTAGCTTTACAATTCCATCAGGTGAAAAATGACATTTGGAAATGCTTTTGGAGAAAAAAGATGATCCCAGCCAGCCTGTTCTGTGCATCCTTTCACATTTTGCTACTTTTCCTGTCCAGACCAAAATGTCACTTGGAGAAAATGTGGACAGCCTTACCCTCCTTACTTGTCAGTTCCTGTGAGTCTCTGAGGAAACAGGTCATATGGCCTCTAGGTTGACCTGTGTACTTGTAACCAGCCCCACAACTCTGTTGGAATATGCTGATTCGAGGGATTCATTCTTTTCAGGCACTGATTTCAAACATTGAGGCTACAATATTACCTAGTCCCCAGGCTGAGGTAAACAACAGAAAGCTACTATCTTCTCTGCATAGGATAAAAATGCAAACCATTGTATTTCTGTATCACACCTTAACCCTGTTTTTCATTAAAACCTTTCCACATGGAAGCAAATTATTTTTATGATGCAAAGGATGACTTTTTAGGCTATTATAATTTAGTAATCTGCATATTTAGGGACAATACAATCTGGCTTCTTAGGATAACAATTTTTTACAATTTATTTTTCTTCCAGGGAGCAGTGTAAATAGCATCTCTCATGTTCAGTTAAAAAAACCCTAGCGTTTATGCTTTATCAGGTCCTTCCTTCTTCATTCCCAACCAGCCTCTTTCCAGCAGCATGGGAAATTCACAGGTTTTGCTTCACAGGCAATGAAAAGATTAGCTAAATATCAAAGATATACCCAGTTTTGAAATGAGTCATGTTTCTACAGTATCTGTGTCTCCAAATTCACTGCCCTCAGCTTCATTTCTGGATGAGACCCACAAACCCATAAAATATGTTACTACAGTAATAAAGAGGAATTACTGACATATGGGCTGGGAGATTTCACATTATTTAAGTGTTAGTCCTCACCAAGTCTTTCATAACGGAAGTTGTGATGACAGCTTCTGACATTTTCTAGGAATTTAATGGTTTGCAGAAATACTGAACTGTGGGGAGCTGGGAAGGAGAGAGAGATGTGCTCTATTTTTATTTAAAAAACAAACGAACAAAAATAAAAGCAAACCAAGAAGAAAAAAATAGAAAACATCCAAGTGTTTAATATCTTGAACTACTTCTAATGATCACTAATCATGTCCGGCGTAAATCCTTTTAAAATACAAGTGAGTAGCTCTGACAGGATTTAACACTTGTCACAAGGACAACACTGGGTTCTACGGCAGGCGGCAGGAACTTATTTTTAATTATTAAAACATTATAATCACAAGAAAAAGAGTGTTATAGCCAATGCAGGATTTCCACAAAAAGTGGAGACCAGAACAGAGTAGACTCAATGCAAAGAGACTTGAAAAGAAAGTATATTAATTGCTTAAAGAGAGAGCAACATTTTGAAAAATAGTTGAAGTCAAATAGTCTTTACTACTTTGTCAAAGAAGAACTTTCTGTTTTATGTAAATATGTCTGTCAAAATATTTCCTTTCTGGGAATTGTAACACACAATACTCCAGTTAAATCCAGAGGAAGTTGTGCAGGTTCTGGTCTACCAAGATAAGAAATAGGGATTATACACTTAAGGAATAGTATAGACAGTAAGAGTTACAGTGAGTAGATGTGTTGGTAGCTGGTGTGCAGGGGACAGATAACACTATTTGAAATCTCAGTAGTTAATCTCTTGAGTGTGGATTTTGACTTTGCAAATGCACATCCATGCTTTAACAATTGTTTTTTAGAAGGGAGTGTTAATTGTGTTTACTTTTATGTATTTAAAAGCAGATGATATCATTTGCTTAGAACAGTGAATTCCTCACTGATGAGGGTAATGTGGTTTTAAGATTCTAACTGTGAGCATTTGGGCTCAACAAGGCTAGTCTTAGAAAATTACTAACCTTGCAGCTTCTTGTGTAGAGAACTGAGGCAGGACATGAATTTCCCTGTGCTCATCTGCTCACCACTTACCACTGCTTCTTCCTCAGCTCCACTGAAATGAAACCAGAGAGCTACCAGTTCACATGAGATAGGATTTTCAATTTTGAAGTCATACAGAGAGAAAAAAAAAAATTAATTCAGGACAGAACTGATGAAGAGCCTGAATGGTGTTTGGAAGCACAGTGGGGTTGGCAGTGTGTGGCTGCAGAGGGGTGGCCCCACAGCAGCACTGCAGCTTCCCTCTAGTTTGCAGGCTAGGTTGTTTGCACTGAGATGGGTGAAGGTTGAGAAGAAAGATTGTCTTCACATTCTCTGTCAGATGATTGCTTCTCGGGGAGCTCTCAGCACTGAAGAAGCCCTTGCACCTTCGTGAGTGATGTCAGGAGAAATGTGGGAAATGGTGGTACAAATGACTCATACCTGCCAATATGAGGATTAGAAGATTTTTGGATATTAAAAAGTAATCACCTTGCTGGAAAGTATCACTTGCAATCTTGCTTTGTTCATATTGTTTCGCTTTGCATTAAATTTCTGAAGCAAAGTAAATTCATTCTATCAGTTAAAACTGAGAACTGACACTTTGTTTCAGGATTTACTCTGTATCTTTGTCACCCTCATTTCTTTGTCTTCTCTCTGAATGCTCTGTGGAAGAACCCAGTGTTCCTCCTCAACTGGGAGGGGGAAAAACAGACTAGGGCTAGCCCTAATCAGGGGCAGACTGGATTGGAAGGGGTGAGGACAAGCAGGATCTAGCAGTCTGTGGGCACTCTTCCCATGAGCAATTCCTGATCCCTTTTCTCACCCACAGCCCCAGCCTTGGTGTCTGTCTCCCTGCTCCACCATGGCCACCCTTGCAACTTCCCCAGGGCTGCTCTGAAGGACAAGCAGCAAGGGCTAATCCTGGGTGATTGTTTGGAGACTTATTTCCACAGGGTTTTGCCCATTTTGCTTGGGGATTTTCTTCTGGTTTGAGTTTGCTTTTTTTTTTTATTTCTCCGATTTAAAAATTAAGCCAGAGCTGACGGAGCATGCCAAACCAATGGACCAAGTGCGTTGAACAGCTGTAGTTGATAGTTGACTGGTCTTTGTGAATAATTTTTTCCAAAATAACGTCTGGAATAAGCGTTCTTCAGTTCTGCTGCAGCTATTCTTGAATTTCATGTGGAAGACAAGGCTTTTGACCCCAGTCCCATAAATCTATGCCAGAAAATGAACTTTGCGTAGATGAAAACTTGCCATTTTTAGTGTGCCCAAAAATGCAGCACAGCTAAGTCCAGCACAACACAGATAAACAAGGTGCTGTGAGACTAGCCAGGAGAACAGCCACAGCTGTGACCGGAACCTGTGCTGCACAGCACTGGTGTGTAAGTCTTACGGAAAAATTTATGAAGCTTCTTGGCTTAAAATCAGTCCCTTCTTGGAAGGATTTTGTTTCATCCATGCTAAACTTTCCATGGGGATTTGAGACTTCACATTTACTGTTGTATTCATTTCCACTTGAAAATAATGGAAATTATGTATATATTTGCCTCATCTATTTAACTTGTAGAAAAATACTAACTGGAGAAAATACCAGAGGGTTGCAGCTAGCCAGAGGCATAACATACAGCTCCCCCGGTAACACAATGGCAGTGAAATCCATATTACTCCAAAATGTTACAAGGGCAAGATGAAGAGAAATGATCTTCTGAATCTCCATCTTTCTTATCTTACACTTAAGAGTCCTTAAACAAAGGCATATTGGCTTGTAGTTTTGTTTTTCCTTATTATTTGTCCTATAACTATGACTGTTCCAGGGTCTCCGTATTTAAATGTCTTCTAGATATTGTCTCAATACAAATAATTTCTGTTGCTTCAAAGCTGTACAAAAAGTAATTGAAATCAAATGTTGCTTTATGAGCTCCTGTCCATCATCTCTGAGATCTTCTAGTTTTTTCTCAAGAACAGTTAATTTTTCTTTTAATTCCTGAGCACCTTATTGGTAAGCATGCTTCTAGGGAGTTGAAACACTGTCTTGCCAAAACACACAAACATTCACCTAAAATTCTTACATTTGTCTCTAATTTCACTTTGCCCTCTAGTGCCCATTCTGGTTTTCTCCCGCACTGCAAAGTAACATGTTGACTGAAATACATCAAAACAGATTTTTATTTGATGAGGAGATTTATGAGCACAACTGTGAATTAGAAAGAAAACTTAATGATACAAAATTTCTGAACAATTAGTGGGCCATAAATTAACATATTCCCATTGCAGACAAGTTAGGCAATAAAAACTGGAATCACTCACAAGAGAGCAGCTGAAAAATATTTCATACTATTTCCAAATTTCAGTGAAAGCAAGACCATTTCAATAACAGTTTTCTGCATTGCAAAAGCCACCCAAGGATACCAGAACCAGAAGGGCAAGAGGGCTGAATGTAATTTTACTGTATAGGTTTGAACAAATATTAAAAAAAAACAAGCAACAGAAATGAGATTTGAAACGGTCCCAGGGTGGGTCCATTTCCAGGGCTGTTAGTTATAAAGCAAAGAATACATATTTTGTTATAACATTTCTAGCAGGGTGTCAGCAGATGGAAAAATTACTCTAATAATTTACTCTGGTTTTTTGGTCCTTTTTGTTGTTCTGGATCATGGTGAAGTTTCTAGCTGTTTTTGTTTCTGGTATTTCAGCTTCATCCATGAGATCCACATCTGCCATCTCTTCTGTATCTTGCATCCATGAGTGGTAGAGTATGGATACCCTGCAAAAGAGACCTGTGTCATTATCTATGACACCTGAGACCCCGTGCACCATCACTGCTGTTCATACCAGTCCATTTTCCACTTAGATACACTTTTTATTACCTCCACTTTCAGTGGTGCTCTTCGGAATCGCTGGAGATGAGTAAAAGCTTTAAAGTTGTTCTTTTCCTGAGGCTTAAACCAATCTCTGGCAATTTCAGCCCTCCAGGACTAACACTAACTCTTTTGAGAGCATAACTAACAGATATGCTCTCTCCTCTGCTTCTTTACGCCAGACCCAAAAGCCTGAAGTGCCAAATATACATCAGGGTGGCCACAGATAGATGTTTTGGTTTTGGTGTTTTTTTAAGGTTGTTGGGGTATTACCAAATTTTAATGCTATCCTTTGGGTAAAAGAGACTTGATATAGCTGTGTTCTCCTCATAGCAAGTCGTTAGGGAAAGCACACTGTTTGAAAGGGAGTTACCCAGGGACAGTTTCCCAAGGGTAAAGTCCAGGCTCAGTTTTATTGCAAGCTGTTTTAAGGAATTTGATTAAACTGTAATTATTACTGAAGGCTGTGTGGTTTGGAGGAGAAATTGATTGGAAGGCTATACATCTATATAGTTCAATTTGTGAGCAAAGGGAAAGGAGCATATTTCGTGCCGCAATAAAGCACAGCACTGGGTGATGATGTTTGAGGTTGCAGTAGCTGGGATGAATATGCCCATGAATATACCCATGAGAAAGCAGAATGTGCCACAGGCAGATATGGCTTTTACACTGAAAAGTTACTTCAAATAATCCTAAAAAAAAATGTTGGAAGTGAATCGGAAACACTGCAGGAAGGAATAAAACCCTTGCTCCCAAACAGTTAAAGGCAATATATTTCAATTAAAAGTAACACTGTCCAATTGGGAAGTTACTTCAGAAGCCATAACTACTGTGAAAAATGTAGTACATAGACAAAACTTTCTAGAATTACTTTACATCTTTGAACAAAGCAAATGTCAGAATTACTCAAATGTAAAAAAAAAAAATTACTTGCTTGGAAAAAAGGATACAAACTTTCAAAGAAAAATGCATATTCTCAGCCTAAGTCAGGACCACTTAAATATGCAGTGAACTACTTTCTATTTGATGCAGTCTGGATCAGTACAAATCTAGTAATTCCTGTGTGGCATGGGATGTGAAGTTCGTTCACAAATATGGGATTCTCTGCATGTAGGTGAAATAGAGATGGAAAGTATCTGCATGTTTTCTCAGCAGAAAACACCATAAGATGTCACCATCTGTCAAAGGCTGAAATATCTTCCTAGGGAGTAGCCCTCACTAAAAATTCTTATGGATTAATTTATAGCTAGAGTGGACAGCTTGCTTACCAAGGAAACAAATTACATTACATTGAATAATGCATTACATTTGCAAAATTAAATTTCAGAAGCAAAATTATTTAAATACAATAAAAATTAACTAGAGCACTGCCACAAGATATATCAATAGAACAAATAATAAATGTTATTTATAGTATTTGTTTATAAATATTATAAATTATGTGAACTTAAAATCTTTGTACCTTAGTTTTTAAGCTTCCTTGTCACCTTATCAATCAATTGGAGACATCTCCTCATTTCTGCACGGCTGATCTCCCAAGAGCACAGGTCATGTTGTTTGTCTTTAAGAAAACAGTCTATTTTTTGGAAGTACTTTTTCAGTTTCAGCCTGCTGGCTTCTTTACTCCGATGGTGTTGAGTGTGCTTTCTAAATACACATGCCTCCAATTGCTCAATCTGCAGATAAAGCCCATTTTGGAACTGATCCAAAGCTGTTCCATCCCAAGCAGCTAGAGTCAGATTTTTGCTAAAGATATAGAAGATATGTTGGAATATCTCTTCAATGGCAACTCCAACAGTCTCTTTCTGCCTGGGCTGTAGAACCTGTGCAGGAAATCTGAAGGACATTTTCTCTCTTAGACATTGTTGAGGAAACTTTTTTCCCATTTTATCCAAGAGTCGCAGGCTGTTCTCAATCACTTTTCTTTGCTGCAAAGGGAGATGGTTGCACTGAAGACTGGAGATGATGGTGGTGCTTGACAGTATGAGGCCAATTTGTATCAAGCCAAAAGCACTCATGATAAGGACAAGCTCTAATGTTCCTTCTTTCCCGTATAAATTCTGAGTGCTATGCTGGGTGCTTTGAAGTTATTTATAGACTCCCATTTCTTCAAAATCTTGACATTTAATTAATCTGTAGGAGAAGTTTTCTTTCTTCTTTTGTTGGTTTTTAGGGTTTCCCCCCCTGTGTATGCTTTTGACAACACTTTCATTTTCTGCTTTATGACTTAATAGTCTTTTTGTTTTGTTTTGTTTTTCTACTTAATTTTCATTTCAGCTGGATACTAGAATATAATATCTATTTATGTTAGATTATTTGTTGTCTCTACTACTAAAATTCTATAGGATGCATAATGAGAATTCAAAATAAAGAGTTACAGAAACACTTGTTTTCTTAATATTCTAGCAGTGGAAGAACATGCTGAAATAAAGTAATATTTTCAATTATGGGTCAGGGACCTGCTAAATACTACTGCCATCTTGTATTCCATATCATATCAGTATGAATTCATACTTCCAAGCTTCCATTAATCTTTTTCTACCTGTGTTCTTTCAGGAAAAATGTTTTATTTCTCCTTGCTTTTACCTCTTATTTCTTATGGATACATATCATTGGAATGTGTGTGTGTGTGTGTGTGTGTGTGTGTGTGTGTGTGTATGTGTGTGTGTGTTTGTATAAAAATGTGTATTAATATGTTTAGATACATAAACAATTAATTACATGAAGACTTGATCTTACTTAGACACCTTAAATGCCTTGCGAATACAAACACACGGACATGGGAAAAAGTTAGGTACTTGGATGAAATACTCTTTTTCCCTCATATGAGTAACTGAGCAATAATTGATATCAATGCCAAATAAGTACAGGTCTGTATTCAGACAATAAATGGGAAGAGAATGAATAGGGATGACAAAAGGTACAATTCAGCCATTTGCTTTCCCATGCCATATAATAGAGGCAGTTATGACTATCACAGTACTTTGGGATATCTGGCCCCTGTTTTTGATTGTATTTTGGTGAAAGCTAATCTTAAATGCTATTTTGCTGTCCCCCTGTCTCCTGTGAATATAATATGTGATTAGAAAGGCAATAGTCTGTAAGTCATACTGTCTGGATGAAGAGGTCTGATAAATTGGGTTTTTAATCTGAGACCTGGCTGTGTATTTTTTGTATAAAAAGTAGAGAAGACTGGCAGAAAATAAATTATTTTGGTTTCCATCTGATCCCCAGAGAACAGAGGGGATAGATGCAGCTGTGCTTAATTTCTGATTAGAAGCAACTTGTCACTCTAAGTCCACTCACATTCAATGAAATCCCAAAGGCACCAATGGTGTGGGTTACATTTTAAGTCTGGTCTCATTTGCAATGACGGAGTCACAGATAATGCAGTTTAATGAGTCAACACTCAAAACACATCTGCTCTACTTGAATAAGAACTTTCAAGAACCCAGGTTCACCAGTAGTTCAGTTTGTTGGGACATCAAGTTACAGCTTCTTGTTAGATTTCAGGAGACAGATTCACTAGACATGAAAAAAGTGTAGAGTGCTATGGGCAAGTGTCCCCGGATGCACGCCGACACAGCTGGGGGTCAAATCCTGCCAAAGAGGTGTCCCTGCTTTAGGGAGGAGAGAGGAGCAAGCCCATTGACTTGCCTGCGAGGTGCTCATGTTCTCATTCTCTGCCATGAAGGATTTCAAATAGCAGTTCATACATATGGGAGAAGTGAACGTGAGACTGCAGCCAAACACCATTACTGCCTGAACTGCATGAACCTGGAGAGGGGGCAGCCAGTTTGTATGTTAATGAAAGACACAGAGAGAGAAACCTGTGGATCTTGTGCAAGGGTGGAACACAAAACATTAGGGACGCCTTGGTGTCACTCACTCTTTCACCTGGCCAATTGCAGCAAAAAGAGTCAGCTACAATCCTCCTGATTACCTGTCACCCCATCAGCAAGCCATCCTGCCCACAGTCATCCCTTGATGACATATCATGGCTCTAGGCCTCATTCCTACAGTACTTTTGTTCTGTTGTTACACCCACTGCTATGTGGTTGGCTTCATTCCCAGTCTGGTAGTCACTCCCAGCAGATTGATGATAACGGTTTAGAGCTTCCTTTATGTTCAGCTTGTAGGTATTTGGGAGGCTTTAAAAAGTTGCTTAAGCAAACTTGGACTGGATGTACTGCCAGTGTAAGGAAAAAATGTATCCCCTATCACCTATGACAACAAAGAGTAACAACAATCAGAGTAGGATACAAGAAGCTCAACATGAGATGAAATCTTTTCACTTACTGTGAATATTTATTACTTTGGAAAACTGACTTGAAGTGCATCAGAAATCAGTAAAAAATGCGTGTACTTCAAGAAAATTATTCCCTAATGGTACAACAATTTCCATAAATTATACACAAGTATTTTTTCCCAAGCTCTAATCATTATATGAATTTAATCCTTCTAGTGATCTAAACAGATAAACCTTGTCATATTTACTATATCTTCCAGATATAATAAACACAAGTTCTTTCTTTCTTTTTGCAAAATAGTTTTGTCCAGGTTTCCTTCTTAGTGAATAGCTGAGGACACCATACTGAGTGTCACAGTGGAAAAAATAGAAGATGGTCTTTTCCCTGTTGCTTAAGAAGATTGGGTAGGTCCAGGTGTCTTATTCTCTTGTCTGTCTTAACATGTTGTCTACACTTTCTCACAGAAAGTTGCACTTGACTCGTTCCACCAGGATTTGGTTTCTGTTTGGTTTTGTTCGTGTGTTTGTCTAATAACAATAAACTGCTCCTCCACCGTCAGCCAGTTTCTTGATTATTGCACTAAGCAAAGCATGGTAGTGACATTGCACGATTCAGGACACAGCCTACTCTAATCATCTACCTTCACTGCTTCATTCAGGAACAAACAACTCATTAAAAGTAATGACTGGAAGGAGTAACTGAGTGATACGAAGCTGCAGCACAGATTTATGTTTATTTCTCTGGCTGTGGATGAGGCACAGAGCAACCATTCTAAGCTAGAATGAAATGAGGAAAAGAGTCGACAAAACACAGCTGTATTTCCAAGCAGACCTAACAGATCATTACTTTGGAAAGGTTATCTAGTCTTCAATTCACGAAAAAAGATTTGTTCCTAAAAGATCATCTAGCTATATATGTATTTGTAACAGGAAAACTAAAGATAAACATGTGCACAATTTTGTTTTTCTAACATCTTTAAAATGCTGTAAAATACTTCTCTAATGGAAACTTTTCATTATATTTTATAACACCATAGAGGAATTAAATGAATATTTGCTATCCATAGGTTCTTTCATCTCAGGCACCAATGCAAATGGAAAGTCTAAATTTAACCTGTGTATAGGATGGTAAATGGAGCATTGAGACAGAGCATTCCTACAGAATGGTCATCTTTTGACCTTTTATAACTACCCTGTGTTGAACCATTTAATCTGCTTTAGATATCAGTTTGATTTCTACATTCAGAAAAAACACACTGATTTTTAAAAAGTCAGTGTGCACCAAAAGAGTTCAGGTAGGATTGGCTTGGCACAAGACAGCTTCCTCCCCATCTAGCTTGACACTGCCCCTGTTAAACAGAAATATTTTTATCCATTATGCCTTCCACACACCTGTGTGTGCCACCTCTCTTACAGGTGGTAGAATGGCTTGTGACCTTTTAAGTCCAGTGAGGAGAACCTGAGGGAGCTGAGGTTGTTTAGCCTGGAGAAAAGGAGGATCAGGAGTGACCTTATTGCTCTCTACCAGTGTCCAAAAGGAGGTTGTAGCAGGTGGGGGTCATCCTCTTCTAGGGTCAGGACAACAGGACACAGCCTCAGGTTCAGGAAGAATTTCTTTATGGAAAGGGTTGCTAAGCTTTGGAATGGACTGCTCAGGGAGGTGGTAAAATCACCATCCTGGGAGATGTTCAAGATATAATTGGATGGCAACCTTGGTGCCATGGTCTAGTTGACAAGGTGGTGTTTGGTTAAAAGTTGGACTTGATCTCGGAGGTCTTTTCCAATGTAACTGATTTTGTGATCCTGTGATTATCTTGTTCCAAGTCCCCTTGCCAAGGGCAGGAAGACGTTTCACTTAACCAGGTTGCTCAGAGGTCCATGCACCCTACCATGAACACTGCCAGGGATGTGCCATCCACAGGTTCTCTGAGCAGCCTGTTCCAGTGCCTCACAGCCTCACATTAAAGAATTTCTTCCTAATACCTAATCTAAAATTACCCTCCTTCAACCTAAGGCCATTACCTCTTGTCCAGCCACTACATATCCTTGTCAAAAGTCCCTTTCCAGCTTCTCCTTAGACTCCCTTTAGGTACAGGAGAGTGCTGTAAGGTCACTCCAAAGTCTTCTCCAGACTGACCAAGTACAACTGCCTCAGCCTTTCTTCATAGGAGAGTTGCTCCATCCCTCTAATCATTTTTGTGGCCCTCCTCCTCTCCAGCAGTTCCATGTCCTTCCTGTGCTGGGACCCCAGAGCTGATGCAGCACTGCAGAGGGGTCTCAGCAGAGCAGTGCAGAGCAGAGGGGCAGAATGCCCTCCCTGGCCCTGCTTCTCACGCTGCTCTGGATGCAGGCCAGGACACATCTGGCTGTCTGGACTGCAAGAACAGAGTTATCTCATGTTCAAGTATTCAGCCATGAGCCCAAGTCCTCCTCTGCTGGGATACTCTCAATGAGTTCACTTCCCACTCTGTAGTCATGTCTGGGATTGCCCTGGTCCATGTGCAGCACTTTGGACTTGTTGAACTACGTGGGGCTCTTGCAGGCCCACTTCTCAGGTTTGTCCAGGTTCCTCTGGGTGGCACCCTATCCTTTTGTGTCACATGCAGCACTCATTTTCATGTCATCTGCAAACCTGCTGAGCAGCCCTTGATCCCCACTATGTCATTTATAAAGATCCTATCTTCCACCTCAGGGGGCCGAATACCCAGAGGGCAACTGCTCTTACTCTTCAAGCCTGAGACAAGAAAGGCGTTCAGCAGCTCAGCCTTTTTTCCTCATCACTTGTCACAGTGTTTCCCCATGAATCCAACAAAGTTCCGCCTCTTCATCCTGGTTGAGGTGGATGACCCCTGAGGGAGCGGGGGCCGGGAAGCGAGGGAGCTGCCGCCCTGCCGCGCCACGTCCCGTCTGTCCNCCCGCCCCGGAACAGCCCCCTGCCCCGCCGTACGGACCGAGCTCAAACAGCTTCTCTCCGAGAGCCACCCCTCAGCTCCGTTACACCGCATTTAAATCGGTATGTTTCATCTGGTCTGCGTATTTATATCGCATATTTGTATTATATTGGTATTTCTTTGAGTGATCAGGAAAGGGATCAAGTCCCTCCTCAGTTAGTTTGTGGGTGATACCAAGCTGAGCAGGAGTGTTGATCTCGAGGGTAGAAAGGCTTTGCAGGGGGCTCTGGACAGGCCGGGTCAATGGGCCAGTAGTAAGAGGTTTAACATGACCAAGTACCAGGGCCTGGCCTTGAGAATGCCCCTCATGCTGGGTCACAACAAGCCCAAGCAGTGCCACAGGCTGAGGCCAGAGTGGCTGGAAAGCTGTCTGTCAGAAAAGGACCTGGGGGTGTTGGTCAACAACAGCTGAACGTGGTCCAGCTGGGCCCAGTTAGCCAAGGACATCCTGTCCTGTAGCAGCAAGTGTGGCCAGCAGGACCTGGGCTGTGATTGTCCCTCTGTGCTTGGCACTAGTGACACCATACCTTGAGTGCTGTTCTGGCCCCCTCAGTGCAGGACAGACATTGAGGGGGTAGAGCATCCAGAGAAGGGCAGCATCACTGGTCAGGGGTCTGGAGCACAACAAGTCCTGTGAGAAGGGGTGTTTATTCTGGAGAAAAGGAGGCTCGGGGGCTCTCTACAGGGAGGGTGGTAGTGAGGGAGGACAGTCTCTTCTCCCAGGTAAAAAGTGGTAAGACAAGAGAAAATGGGCTCAAGTTGTACCAGGGGCGGTTTAGACTGGGCATTAGGAAAACTCCATTCATAGAAAGGGATAAATGACATAGTCAGGCCTTAGAACTGCCCAAGGGAAGCAGTTGAGTCACCATCTTTGTAGGAATTTAAAAGATGTGCAGATGTGGTAGGGACATTGTTGATTGGCAGATTTAGCACTGTTCAGTTTGCGGCTGGTCTTGATGATCTTGGAAGTCTTTTCCAACCTAAATTATTCTAACTCGAGCAGCTCAAGTTTTGTCATCCTATTGCCTCAGGAAGAAAATTCAACCTTTTTTAATAGTGTTACAGATTCATGGACTTCTTGATTTGTAAGGGAGCCACAGTGAGTCCAGCTCCTGGACCTGCACAGGACCATCCCAAAGAGTCATACCATGTGCCTGAGAACATTGTCCAATATCAGTGCTTCCCTGGGGAGCCTGTTCCAGTCCGTGCTGAACAACCCGCCCAGTGAAGAACATTCTCCTAATTTAGAATATAATAGTTAGGGTTGGAAGGCACTTGATTTTAGAAGAGCATTAGAAAACTATCTTTCATATTGCATGATCAAACAAATTTTTTCTCTATGACACTTTCAAGAATGTTATTGTATAAGGTTAAAGAGCAGAAATGGTGAGACAAAACTTAATATTCTAAAAGGTAAGTCCCTTGCAGGAATTCCATAGTTTAAAGCAACAGCTTTAAATCACAGCAGATTTTAAAATAATGTTCAAAACAGTGTGAAGCAAATCAGTAGCAATGTTTTCTAGTTACTTAAACAGAGGGAGAGGAGACCCTGAACTGAAACAGTGTACTCATGGAAGCCAGCAATTCTGGACTAATACTGTTGAAAAGAAAAATTAGATACATAAGGTTTGTCTAGAATATATACTTTATTATTTGTAGTCTGTGTAAATTTTAATATGTGACTGAATTTTCTACACCATTTTCTCTGTTTAAGCACATTCTGGTCTTTTCTAACCATCCAGTCAATTGCACCTTTAATATGTACAGTCAGTATTTATGAATATTGCATATGCATCTATGAACTTAGAAAAATAACATGCAAGGAAAATTGTTACCATGAAACTGATAAAAAATAAAGATAGGTAAAACAGTCAATCCCCTTTTTAGTGTGTTATGGCTTTGCACCAAGTATCAGATGTCAAAACAGCTTCAGATGCTTCTTGTTAAAGGCACTTACTGTTCTTCAAATACACTTTTCACATTTAGTTCTATTGCATTAGGAAGTGTATCTCTGGGATCATACTTTCTTAACACAGCAGAACAGTCTGAAAAGGCAGCATTAATAAAAAAGGATAAAGGGGGGGCTTATATTAAAATATGGAAATGCCAAGAATTAAAACAAACCTTAAGGATTTGGTCCTTATAAAACAGGCAACAGCATTCAGGCAATAGTGATTTCTTTTCATAGACACTGACAAAATAATATCCCCAAAAAATGAACTCTTCCAGTTCCAGTGTATAGATATGTCTGAGTTGAGTAGCGTACCCTCTAACACCACCCCCAGTAAATATACAGCTTTCCAAGAATAACTACTGTTCCACTTTGGCTGCGAAAGAAGAAACCTCAGAAGAGTGTTAGAGATGGACAAGCTAGCAAGCCTACAACTCTGTGTCTCTGTATCTGGATGGCTGTCCATAATAGCCCTTCTTAGAGTGGTCTGCCAGCTGCCGGCGGTACTCCTCCTCCTCCTCATCGCTGCCATAACTGGCACGGTTCTCCAGGTAAGGTCTAACAGGAGGCTTCTGGGGTTCTGGAGGCCTGGAGCTAACACAGTGGAATAAGGAAAGAGAAAGAGATCATGTCTACTCCCATTATGAACAAGTGAAAAACAGTTGTGCTTAATATTTGCTTCATGGCCACATACAACTTAAGAAAGGCAGATGGAGCAAGTGAAACCCCTTCTAGCCAATAAAAAACTGCACGACTATGGTAAACCTATCTGGAGAGGCATCTTGTTTCCATCAAGCTGGAAGATGATGCTCAGATTTGATGCACTTGACCTACCTGGAAAAATGCCAAATTTAAAATTTTACCATTTAAAATTTAAATATCCCTGCGCACACAGAGATATCAATAGCTTTTTACAGTATTCTATTCCCTGAGCAGAGAGGTTTTCAGCCTTGCTACTACCCCAACTGACATCTCCCTTATTTAGCTTTGCACAGAACTTTTTTCTGTGCCTCCTTCTTCTTTTGCATGCTCAGTCTTCTGTCTCAAAGTCCAAAGACTTCTTAAGTGACACTTCTTAAATTGGTAGCCTTTTCACTCAAGGCTCTCCCTAAGGCTCTTGGCCTTTAAAGTGGGCAGAAATAACCCACACTTTTGCTTTTTACACACTGTGGTGATACACCTTTGGCGTGACATTAAGCAGACATAGAAAAATAGAATCTATCAAGGCAGGGTATTTCCTCAGTTTCAAACTCCGTGATTTTTGCAACCCATGCTCTGGAAAAACAAGATGGTATTCTGACATCTTTCTCCCAGGGCTTAAATACCCGCTTCTAAGGCTAATCATTAACACTCCTGTAGAAAGCAAACAACACTGATTTCTACATGTAAGCAAACACTCTGCAAATGTGATGAAATATTCATTCTCTTTACTTTTATAAAGCTTCCAATGCTGTATAAAAAAGAATATTTGTCTGAACCTGTCAAGAAATCCAGAAAATACCACTTTTCCATCTTTGCATTTTAGATTATTTACTGTTATATCAAAGCATTTGACTTACTAGGAAAAAAAGTTAAATTTCTACTGGCTATTGCTAAGATGCAAGAAAAAATTAAGACTCCCGAAGAACAGAAAACACAATCCATCGTGCAGTGTGTTCTCCCTTGCATAGGTGTCAAGTCCTAGAAATGTGCAGTGTGTAGGGTAAGATGATGCAGTGGTCAACCCATCCAGAACTTACTGAATTTTAACAAAAGACTATTACTTTCATGAGATTTGATGGGTCACCTGTATCAGCTTTCATCCTTGATTTACCTAGCCACACTACATACCTGTAAAGGATAAGTATTTAGGTAACTAAGCGTTATTAGAACAGCAAATATTTTTTAGGATAGACTATCAGTAATCACTCAGTCTATCAAGTATCTAGCACAGGTAGGATGGACATCAAAGGACATGAATGCAGTCCAGCTTCTGCCCCAATACTGATTGGGGCAAAAAACTGGCTCTGCAAATATTTCGGTGACAGAATATAGTATTTCTTCCAATATGACTCAAATACTATAAATGAACTTACCATAAATGTACTAAAAGAACAAAAAAAAAAAATCCTGAAATGAATTCACTGAAGGGTTTGCTAAAATTCTGCCCTACCTTTACAATAATCTGAGGCACCAAAACAAAATGATATACCAAGGCAGGATGATTTGTATAAACAAAAACTGGCAAGATCAGTTTTCCTCTTGCCATCAAAGTCAGGAATCAAGACAGAATGCTTGGAATTGGATACACCTTACCTCATTGGCTGGGGCCAGTTCTGTTCTGACTTCTGTGTTTTGACAGGGACAGCATAAATATCTGGATGCTTCTGGGCTATTTCAAGCTTTAAAAGAAAGTAGAAGAAAATCAATGTTCTTTTTAACTCTTCCATGAGGGATCCTATATTAGGATCTAGGATCTAGCAGGTCACAGCTACACCTGAAACAATTAAAGCACAAATTGGTAATATCCTACTGATAATCCTACAATTACATAATCTTTTGCTAAAGTAGTAATTCAAAGCACATTTGAGAACAATGGATTGCCAACAACAATAGGATTATTAGAAGTCAGGTTTTTATAGTTACAATAGGAAACCTTAAAATACTACCTCTTTTTATACACAAATACACACAATGAGCAAGAGTATGTCTCTGTGTGTGGTTTCCCAAACTTCTCCCTCCAAAAGCAACACAATGCAAAGGGCATTATTTTAGCTTTCAGGACTCTGGCTGTTCTATAGGTCGCAAAGCACAGGAAGGGGAAAGTCATCTCTTCATACCCTGGCATTTTGCGCCTCTTGCAGCTCTTGCATTCTTTGCATCCTTGCCTTGTGATCCATCTCCTCAAATATTTTTACTTTCCTCAGTACTGATTTTGGAGTATTTTCTTGTTCACTTCCTTCCTCTTCCAGCTTTCCCTCATCCTCCTCCTCCGCAGGCAGGACTGCTGGCTGAGAGTTCCTCAGAATGGGACGCCCAAAGGCAGGTTTCACAGAAACAGGTGGTGGCGCTGCTTTAGCTGGAACAGTTGAAGTCTCACTGCTGACAGCAACATTACTCGATTTGGCATCA